ATGTAATAACACTCTGATTCGCACGTCCATAACGTCATAGGAATTGAATAATGTGTACGACGTCATAATAATGCGTATATGAGGATGTTCCAACGATCCAGATCCATCATTTTGAAACTCTGCAGTCGAAACATCAATTCCAAAGATATTTTCTAATGATAAATGTTTATGAATGTGTGCGAATTAGTATCTGCTGTGTAACTCGCGATACAAAATTCTAATTACATTCAGATAGCAAATATTTAAGAAATAAATGATCAAAATCTTTGGTTCTACAGGTTATTGAATTTGTTTTTTCGGGCTCTGTAAGAATATTCAAAAATAAATATCAGTTAATCACAAAACAATAACGATGACTTTGAGAACTCATAAATAGATGATCATTCGAAAGGAATATTCCCAGCATTACATTTGTCTCTTAAAACAGTACATTGTCCTGAGAAGTCTTTTTGTACAAAAAAAATAAAATAGCAAAGGTATTTAGATGAATCCATTTAGCTGGTCACTTACTCGTACACTTAAGAAGTATTTAAAGTCGACTTTCTCAAAAACATGGCCTTGAACAAAGAAGTTTTCAATTCATTTTCATATGCAGAATTACGACTCACAATCAATCAATTTTCTATGAGTCGCGGGACATGAGGGTCTATAAATAAATATTTATATTCTCAGATTTCTTCTTATACAGAGGAGATCGAAGTCAAATGGTCAGTCATGTTGGTGTTATTTTTGTATCTATTGATAACACAGGCCGATTTTCTTTGGTACATCAGCTATGTATAATCAATAATATAGTTTAGCATGATAACGATGCAATAAAAAGTTCTGGCGAAATTACGATATGATGACGCATGTGACTTATGAGAATTCTACATTGTAAATTAGTGAATAGAAATTTAATTAAAGATAATTTTTCTGTATTCTAGGTATTAATTTTGGAAGTATAATTTTTATACTGTGTAGAAAAAATATCACACAGTTGTTTAAAAAGAAATTTAGTATTTCAATTTTATTTATCCACATAAGTTGGTAATGATGAGACGGTGCATTTGTTGTTAATTTATCTATTTTATAGTTATTTTTTTAATGTAATAATCATAGAATGCCACGAAATTATATTAAAAAATTAAATAGACGAGTAACGAGACTTATCTATCCAGGATGTATGCAGATCCTTCTTTGCGAGGACTGAATATAGTGTCTTAAATATTTAAACTGGTGGCGGTAAATAAAGAATCTTATATTAAATGTCATATATCAAGATTGTATTCACTAAATTAGTAGAACCATTTTATCCCAATATGTGGATTATTTTAGTCAATAGTCGCGTAAGATAACTAATTTACTCATAAATTAGCTTTTAAACCAAAGATAATAATAAAATTATTTTTTCTATTTCTAATGGATGTAAAATTGTTTTGTTAAAATACTGCTTTCTTGTAAAAAATTGAAAAAGTTACGCTTATTTTTGTTTAGCGTAGGCATCTTACCTTGATTTCATACATGTTCACATTTTTTCTAAACTTTTTCTGTTGCTCTTTATATTTCGTAATACACGCTTATTGTGATAAAGTTTTCTTTAGAATTTCATAGATAGGTTGACGATCTCTTACAAGTGAATTCGATGGATTACAAGCACAGATTTCATGAAAAATCAGGTGTTCCTGCAATTGTGCAACGTGAATGTGCGACGCATATCAAGGCACTCGCCCAATTGGCATCCAGCATGATTCACGCGCGACCCTTCTTGTAGAAAAAGAGACGTGATAGATCGGGTGAACATGCAATAAATATAAACCGAGCTGCCGATCGAGTGTACGAAAGCACCCAGTTGATCCCGTCGTCGTCAACAATTTAGCCCTCATTGCCAACAAATCAGGAACCAGCCTTTCATCAGTCCATTCATGGAAAGCTCCGATCGTTCTTCAAAGTCTTCTAAATATCCATCTTTCAAAAGGATGAATTCTTTGTATTTAAAAAAAATTTTTTTTTTTAAATTGTTACAAACGCAACTTATCCTTTAAAATATCTTTGTAATTTTTATTTTTGTTTTTTATATTTCTAAAGATTTATCAACGTTCATTATGACAATAATTTATGATTCAATCAATGATTCATAATTCAATAGAAAATTATTAAGATTAATGAAGAATCATATTTAAAAGATCAAATACATCTATCTTTTGTTCAATCTTCTTTTTTAATTGAACTTTCAAAAAATAAGAACATTACTTTTCTTTTTAAGTGTATCCTAACTTTTGGAAGAGCGTGAAATAAAAGTATATATAAAATACCTAATAATTATATTTCATAAGAAAGACTATAATATACAATAAGTCTAATAACAAACGTAAATTTATTAACAAGTCGTAAATTTATTTTGGACATTATAAAAATGTCTAATAGGGGACTATGTCGATCTTACTGAAATTTATATATATAAAGGTTAGAAAAGTATTTGATACATAGGTCTGTTAAATATTTTTAGATTTATATTTGTTACAACAAAATTTTATGCAGTGACCGTATGAATTCCTGCCGAATAAATCTATCTAATTGGATTTATTTATAATATAGATATAGATTATATAGATTTATTTATATGTAATAAATCTGCTTATTTAGATTTATTACATATAAATAGTAGAGAGAAATTAAAAACTATCATATGAATTGCTTATTATATTATAAAAGAAAGTTGAAATCATTTTTTATAGCACATCTCGAAGATCTTTTTTTTTTCCTTATATTATTGCCTAAATACTAAACAGATCTAAATATTAAACAGAGAGTTTATTCAAATGAAAGATCAGACAAGAAAGAGTTTGAACAATTTTTTCAAGTAATTTTCTTTTATAAGTTTTCATTGAAATGAAATGAACGATTAAATTGAAAATCATGAATTAAATTAGAGAATAATTTGAGTGTTCTTGAATGTTTTCAATCAAAATTTCGGAATGGAACTTGGAAAAGTCGCAAGATGGGAGATCGCGAGGGCAAAATGAAATGATTTCAAATTTCGAATGGAAACGAGGGGTGATAACAAATCGAAAAACAAATCGAAGCAAGGACGTAAAGACTAGTTGGAGGATTCGAAGGAGGTTTTATTTTGAGTCTCGATTCCGTCCAATCAGCAGCGATGTGTCATCGACGCGAAAATAGTCGCACTTAACACTGGCAGCTCTTTTCTGCGACCTGCCGATGCCAGTTGTATTGCATTGTTTTTACTTTGTCCAAGTGTGAGTGCGAGCCCAACAGCCTTCCTTGTGGTCGCATGTGGCCGCGTAATGTTGTCACCTCATGCCCATCGCTATTTATAGGATGCTTCGACGACGCTTATTAATAGGGGGCCGACTTAACGCCTTCGTTAATTGTGACTTATGTTAGTACGCGAATCTGTGGCAGTTCTCCCTATCCACACAGTGGCTTTACGGATTTATTAATCCACTTTCGTCGTATGCGTGATCGTCGTTCATAAATTTAAAAACATTTTTCAGATATTGCCGGATCATTAAATTTTTGATCATTTCTAGAATCTAGATCTATCTATCAACTAGAACAGTCGCAAGATATTTCAATTTTAATAATAGATAATAGATAATAGACTAATTTCACTTTTAATTAACTAATTAAATTACTGGGACTGGGTTCTCAGATGTTTCGATTTAATAATGTATCGATTTGAATTCTGATTTAAGATTTTGGCATCGATTATTCTGACTGCATTCTTCAAGATAGATTTTGATATTACACATCGATTGTACCGCCAGGTTTATTACCAGGCAATTAGATTATAATTAGATCGGATTAGAATATTCAATTTAATGATTCAAGAATTAATTGCAAATTTTAATAATCGATGACTGTAATTGGACCCCTGGAGATCGTTTTTGGATATTGAATTATATATAAAATAAATAAATAAAAATTCGGTCATCAGTTACATGTAGATATCTACCTGAGTTTCTGAGGTATTATTTTACTGTTATTGTTATTTCAATTTTCAATTAAGAATTTTTTAAGATTTTTTTCAGTTTTTGTTAAATTGAATTTAAAATTTGAAATTTTTATAATCCATTATTTCAATCTCTAAGTGAAAATTTAATGAATTCGGCTAGCATGATTTGAATTAATTTAAAAATTTGGGATTCTTATGATTGGCTATTATGATTGCCATCGAAATTCTTACTCTTTAAATAAAAATTTTGATAAAAATTCTAATAATCTGTCATTTATAATTAGACTACGATTTATGCATTCATAGAAAATTTGAAAGTGTAAACGTATATATACAATACATGAAATAATAATATATAAAAATATATAAAATATTCAAAATATTATAATGCTCGTTATAATATTTGACAAGTATAATTTTCTACCTAAGTTCCATTTTTCAAATTACTTTTATAAAAACATAAAATTGCATAAACATCCACAGTCTATTTATAATTTAACTTTTTTTAAAATCATAATAATTAAAATTCGTTTTAATATTAAATGTTTGTAATATATATTAATTGTATATAAGAATAATATGGTACTTAATATATCCTGACACAAGTGTGAACTTTTCTAATTGTGATCTATGCTGTGATCTTATCTTGTTCGACAAAGAGACTTTTAGAAATTTCTGCTAGACAGTCGCTGATGTCGTGTGTTATCAAGAGCAAGAACTCTATTTAATAATTTTCGTAATAACGAAAGAGTTAACAATCAATTACCGGAGATTAGATTGAAATTGAGGAAGAGAACTGATTGAAACGTGCTTGCATGGAACGAAGAAAAAGTGGATCATAAAAGGAAGATTACTCGTTTTTTTAAATATTTACAGTTCTATTAAATTAATAAAAAAATAAAAATTCCACTAGTTAGAATTTAAATTATTATTTATTAATTAGTATAAACGTACGTATCTTAGATAATAAAGTATAACAATATAGAATTATTAATCGTACCTTTGGATTTATGTTGTTCTTCCTGAGGTTTGTGGGCCTGGATTTTTCCTATCAATAGCTCCAATCTCGAACTGTTCCCCTTAAATAACATTCTGATCTTTCTTTTATACAGCCACCTTTTGTGTAACGGAGTTTATCCTTATTCACCATCACTTTAATATCAATCAGTTCGTTAAACAGTTTCCTTAGTTTCCATTAATTTTCTTTCAATTTATAACGGGAGAACGAACAAGTTTCAAAATCATCACTAAATAATAGATAATAAAATAAGTAAAAATATGGCCTCCAATTTGTTTTATTACACTATCAATAATCCAAGAATAATTAATTGTATATATTTTATATTTTCTAGATTGAGTGTTCTATCACAAATTGGTTAATAAGTAAAACAATTAGTCAATTGTAATCCATATTTTCAATGAAAAACTTCTCAAAGATTGAAAAACACTGATTAATTCTCGATCGCACTCTCTTTCAACTCTGCCTATTTAATTTTTCCAAAATCTTTTAGAAACTTTAGAAAATTCTGAGTTTTTAATGTCAAATTAATTACAAATCACAAATAAATCAAAGTTAATTATAATCGATATTCAAATATGTAACTTAAAAATATCGATTGATCTTTAACATCAAAATCCTCGCGTTAAGTCTTCTCCACACTTTAATTATTTTTTTCTAATTTTTCCAAAGTCTTCTGATTTTTTTTCTTGAAATTCAAGGAATTCTATGATTGTCTCTGTGTATTCTCTTTAATGTATTCTCAGTGTATTAATTAATTACAAGAAAGAAACCAAATCGCGTAGTAATTAATCGCGAAAGTCAATGTTGAACAATATCAGTCTTTAATTCACAAATCGCCACCACACTGATCCAAACTTTTCTTAATTCTCCAAATATGTCGTTGTTTAAAAATATGTCGAAAATCATCTACTTAGGCATTTACCTAAATTCTCGAGAACTCGTGAAATTTCGAGTAACGTGAAAACTTACGAAGAAGAGAGCCAGTTAAAAATGTATGAAATATTGGACAAACGGACGAAAGAGGATCCTCGACTGGAAGAAGAAATCGATCCGGTCTCAATGGTTTGATCGGAAGGACTGGCGATCGGCTGTCTCGCGCGACCAGCCACTCGAGGAACACGGTTGAGTGTATAAACGCGCACTACCGGGAACCCACGGTGACTATTATCGTGTCGATGCAAAAGCGACACACGAACGTCCTCCTCCTGAAAGCAAAAGAGTGCTGGCCGTATGTGGAAGGAGAGAAGGGACGACGACAAAAGCCGGCTGTGAGAGGCTAGGGAGTCCCCTGGGAAACCAGCTACGGTATTGGACGGTAGGCGGGATCACACACTAACGAGTACACCCACCTTCTGACTACCTATCGCACCTATTTAACCTTTCATCTACCTTCACAGAGGCTAATACACCTATGAGTCTCCTTATGAGGGCGGTCGGTGACTTGGTTATTAGGAATTCCCCGTTCGAGTAGAGAGCTGTTGATGGGTAGGATGATGAAGTGATTGGATTTTGGATATGTATGACGAGTAGGTACCAAATTTTAATATTCGTGAATTTTTACGTTTACAAACTTCCTGAACTTCGTTCTTTTTAAATTTTGCTGCTGTTTCCCAAATTTTCCAAATTTTCATAGTGCTTTTATACCCGATATTTAACGTCTTATTTAACTTTGGTTAATACTATCTACGAGGATAGTCGGTAATTTGGTTATTCAGAATTTTCAAATTCTCAATAATTAGAAATGTTGGACTGGAGTTTTTAAGAAGATTTAAAAAGATAAATTTTTATATCTCAGAAATTATATCTACTATATAGTAGGTAGTTATTTAAATTTTTATATTTTTAAGTCTATATTTACATTAAATCTCAAAATTTTTAATTTTTATATCTTTAAGCTTGAATGTTTAGGTGTTTTATGACGCTATAGAGTTTAAGGCAGAAAATAGCCTATTTGATTTTATTAACTGTGGAAATGATTGTAACACTCTATGATTTCAAGAAGATAATGTGAGTTTGTGAACCGCAAAACAAGAAAAAGCAGTAGCAGTATCATGTGGAATATTTGATAATTATCTAATTTAACTTATTGTAATTATTGATTATAGTTATATCTATATGAATGACATGTATCTAAGATAAGATCTACTTTTGAATCTATCAATATTCGAAATTTGGATCAACGATGAACAATTAAATTTGCCTGATGAAACGATTGAGAAACTAGTAAGAAATCTTCAAAACTAACTAAATCACTCTAAAAAATAATGGAATAAATTTCACTTGAAATCCTTTCGAAGAAAAAAAAGAAAATAACATAGTAGCTATATAAAGAACTTATTAAAAAAATTTAAAACTCTATCGCACTTTAAAAATTGTCAGATTTCTGTACCCTATCTACAATACAATATTTCTGAACTTTTATACTTATTTCAAAGTTTTAGGTATAACACATATTTAAATATATTCGCAAATTTCCATACAATCTATTATGAAGTAAATACATACCGAACATGAGTCATTTTACGTATGTAAATTTATTATTGAGAATAATCAAATCACATCAATTTGATAAATAAATGTATCGTTAACGATTTTATTGTGAGTTGTAATTGAGAGAATTCTAGAGTGTAGAGATTTGAGAACAGTGAATGTCTAATGGAAATTTAGATGTGTTATGGAGAATTTTACCTATAAATACTTAGGTAAATATAGGTAATAAATACTTATACTATAAATAGGTAAGTACTCTACTTATAAGATTCATAATCAGCATGAAGAATGGAAAATCAGAAAATAGACAAACAAATGCTATTTTTTATACAGTATGTGAGCTTAAGATCTAAAGATATAAAATTAATTCTGAAGATTTTGAATAAATTACTCTTTTGATATGTAGGATCTAAAGATATAAAAGATATAAAATTAGTTCTGAATGTTTTAAAGAAACTTAAGAAAAAGGAACTTAGTCAAAAGTTTTGAAAATTAGGAATCGTAACAGTGGTTTTGAAGTAAAAATTGAAATAGAGAACTGAAAGGAATAGAAGAAATTAGGAAATTTTTAGAAAAATCTTAAAAGTGAAACATAAAATGATTTTAGCGCGTTACAAAACCTCTATATTTCATTTACTCAAATTATTTAACGAAATAATCAACGAAACAATTACAGAACGAAATGTTCTTTTCTTCGAAGGGATTTCCTGCGACATCCAATGATAATTAACGAGCTTATTAATAGTCATTTCAGAAATAAATTTTTGTGAACATAATTTTCGTAAAATCTATTTTCAAGGCCAACGCGGTAAAATTCGAAACAGAATAAAGTTACATGAAATTTTCTTCAATAAAAGAAAATGTCAATTTCCAAATTAAACGTGACTTATTGTAATTATTGATTTATTAAAAAAATGGAGTTTCGTACGAAAAAAGAATATCACTCTGTAAATTCACTCTTTTTCAAATTATTATTCAACTATACATATAATTCAGAAACGTTCTGTACATATACGAAGATTTTGAAAAATATACACTAGTATCGGAAAGGGATAAGAGAGAAAGATAGAAAAGGAAAAGGGGAAAGAAAGAAAAATAGAAGAGGCCACCAGGGAAAAAGAGGGCGAAGAAAAGAAAGCGAAATTCGAAGTGGAGAGAGGAGGCCTCTTGCAACCCCTGTGAAATCGACTGGAATGGATTCTCACACACGGTTGGAGATCTGTACCACCTTATAGGAGCAACAGAGGAGACCGACTCCCTACAGGGACCCATAAGGTGTGCTTGTAACTCGTGTACGTGCGAAGCGCCCACCCATTGTGATTATTTATCTCGTTGCGATCGCGACATTAGGTGGCCTTCATTTTCAACTACGTCATTTGCACATATAGGTATAATATATAATATATGTATCTCAATTTTATTATTAATTATTTAATTAGCTATTAGTGAATTTATAAGTTAAATAGGTATCGTAGCTTATAAAATTTTATTATACGAACAATTACAATCTGTAGGTTGTAATTTGTCTTTTGTAAATTAAAAAACGAAATTAATAATTAATCAGTAATTAATAAAATGAAATTAATTAATGTTTGCGATTGTTATGTATATTTACATATAACTTAAAAACATCAAATAAGATCTTACTTGTTTTCCATTAAGTTTGTTTCTATTAAAAAAATTTTATTAATACTCGTAATTTTTAATTCGATCGTACAAAAGACAGTCACGAATTAATTTGATATTATTCTGTATACGGTAAAAAATGTTATGCTTATGGTAAAAATTTCAATCATTTAAAATAAAAAAATATCATCTGATTTATAATATCATCTGAGTACTTAAATTTAATCTAATGTTCACATTTAAGAAACTTAAAATTGCAATAGTGTATTCTTTAAAAATATTTATTGTCCTTCTTGTCTTTATCATATCTTTATTAACACTAATGAATTTTCAATAAGTACTATAAACGTTATGAGTTACATGTCTAAAAAGAATTTTAACCCAATTTGAAAAAAAAAAAGAATAAAGAAATGACAATTTCTTTATGTTGACTTGAAAAACATGATATAAATAAAAAATCACAATGCACTTTTCGAAGCAATGCAGGTTTTGATTGCTTTGAATATTTTCTCGAACTATTAAGTTTTCATTGTGAAGCATGTTTTGCCGGAAGCTTTTATCGATCGCGCAACTGGACCGAATCAGACGATTACTCTATTCGACATCGAAACGGAAACAATGCGACTGGCAGCGATGCGAAACAGTCTGAGCAGAAAGATGTTTTGCCATTAAAGATCGTTTTAGGCACGCACGTCCGATCAAGCCGTTTCGAGTCTATATACTTGTCTAATAGCACCGTGAACTCTTTGTCGATTCAAGTGTTACGAACTTCACTCTCTACTTATGTATATTTTTATAATAAATTTAAGCTCTCTTCAGAGCTGTTACTTCCTTCTATTTCCGAACGCAGAAGTATTGGATATTTTAATTAAAAAATTTAAAGTATTAGCTGAGAAATATAAGAAAAATTTGTATATTTTATTCTATAATTTCTTTCTTAGAGCATTTCTTTTTTAGAAAGATACTCATTTTTAGAAAAAATATCATTTTTCTGGATATAATCTTTCTATACTACTACTTGATATACACAGAAAATATAGTACTTACTTTAATACGAAGTAAATTACAGGAATATACGAACAATTTGTGTTGATGAAACAAATAAAATTTGGATATTTCTTTCTATAAATATATTTGATATATTTATTTGAATATTATTCGATTTTGAAAATGGAAAGATTCTAATTTTTTTTATTTTAATTTAATAATAATTATTATTATACAATGTTTGAAATCAATACATTAATGCAGTAACAAATAAATAAAATTTAAAAGAATTATTATATAATTAAGAATTATTATATTATTAAGATAAATATTATTAAGATTAATTTAATT